ATAAAAAAGTTTTGATTTGCTTTATTTTTTAAAGGTTTTATTTATTTGTCAGAGAGAGAGTGAGCACAAGCAGGGAGCCCCATGAGGGACTCGATCCCAAAATCTTTGGATCATGACCTGAGCCAAAGACAGGCACTTAAACAACTGAGCCACCCAGGCATCCCTGCTTTGTTTTAAAGAAAGAATTTGGAATGTAAGGTAGGGAGGGAGGACTAGCCAGGGATGCAGCACAGAGAAGCAAGGGGTTGGAAAATATATAAAAGAATAGTTCAGAGTCAGGGAGGATGCACTGAAAGGTTTCAAAAATCCATAAAATAGCAACTGCACAAGAGGCCGGAGGTAACAGTAGAGTAACAGTGCTCAAAGAGATAACTGCTGAGGATTTTCTAGAACTGAAAACAGACTTCTATCTAATATATCTAATAGGATAAGTAAAATCAAACCTAAACCCAGGCACATCATAGTAAAAAGTGTAGAACACCAGCGATAAGAACATGTTAACCATACCCCCATCCCCAGAAGATAAGCCAGGTTATCTGTAAGAGAAACCAAATTTAGATCAGAGGTCTCATTAGCATCAAAAATGGCCAGAAGGGATGTAGAAGAACACACGGTTATCACCCAAGATTTTATACCCACCCCAGAGAGAGGGCAAAATAACAACAAACCTAAAATGAACAGGCTTACTACCTGAGGCTCTTAGAAGCACAAAAGGAGGCCCTTCTGCAAGAAAAAATAGGGAGAGCGCCATAAAAGGTCTGACCCCCCAAAAATGATACTGGACACAAAAAAATGATAAAATAAGCCCTTAGGTATGATTTGCTATCTACTGATAAGAAAAGAGAATTACTGCCTGCTTAAGAAAACCAGAGGGGCGCCCAGGGGGGCTCAGATGGTTCAAGCATCTAGTGCTGACACTCCCCCTGATCTCAGCTCAGATCTTGATCTCAGAGTTGGAGCCCTATGGGCTCTGGGCTGGGCAAGGAGCCTACTTAAAAAAAAAGGCAGGGGCGGGGTGGAAATGAAAACTTTAAACTCAGTGACAGGATTGCTGGTAGAAGTGATAGGAAAAGCATTCTAAGTCATCATCATGGGTGGGACATTCAAATTACTAAACAACTATCAACACTGCTAAGAAAATATACAGTTAAGTAATACACTTTTTAAAAGTTGGCTCCACACCCAGTGTGGGGCTTGAACTCACATCCCTGAGATTGAGCTGGATACTCTACGGACTGAGTCACTCGAGTGACCTACGGTTAAAATAGTATCTTCAAAATTTAAAGGTACTCAGAAAAGAAAAGAAACCCAAAACAATGACAACAACAGGAAATGCATGCTGCTGCTTTCAAATCAGCAGAGGGAGAATGCAAGATTAAAAGACTTAAGATGGGCAGCTACAGTTTCAGTTTTTAAAGAATGGAGGGGAAGTTTTTAATACCTCAGACTGCCAACCCTATCAATCTGTCGAATTAAATAAATGATTATTAAATACACACTGTGTAAGCACTTACCAAAAATGGAAGTGGTGTGACCAAGTGGGATTAGCAGGAATTGACTGAGAAACAGTTTTACCAGTGTAGCTTTATGCTTTGCCCTCTTTTTTGGTTTGGTACAATTTTTTTACATGTCTGTTACTTGAAACAAAAAGGAGAAGATACAGGGGAAAAAAAGAAAAAAATCCTATTTCCAACCGCGAATGTGTGTGTATGTGTGTGTTTAAGTGTGTATGTTGTGGCTCAGGCAGGCTGTGGGGTTAGGAGACAAAGTGAGGGACATAACCGAGATGCAATGAAAAGAAATGGACTCAGGAGACTGGAGATGGCAGAGGAGTAGCCAGGTGTCCAGATTTTGGTGTCCAATAACCTGAATTTGCATCCTGGATCTGCAGCTAACGAAAGTTACCATGCCAAGTGACTCCAATTACACTTCCTACTCTCAAATGCCTTGTGAGGACATAACAAAGCCTGTTGTCAGTCTAATCTACCATCCCCTTCAGCTTTAAAATTCTATGAATCTTTTATTCATTCATTTATTTATTTATTTATTTATTTTTTCAGTGTTCCAAGCTTCATTGTTTATGCACCACACCCAGTGGTGTGAAAAGATTCTATGAATGTTTTAAAAAATTACGTGAACCGAAACAAAACCTCAAAGCATATACTTGTTAAGTTTCCAGATGAGGCAAAACTGGACAAGTAACAGATTAAAGAGTGTCAAAGAATCTAGACTGTGTCACTGTAGGCTAAAATCAGTATCGTTAAAATTTGACAGGAAGAAGCAAAGACTTGAATATAGATTAACAAAAGATCTGCAGGGACACCTGGCTTGCTCGGTTGGTAGAGCATGTGACTCTTGATCTCAGGATCATGAGTTCAAGCTTTAGCTTGAGTGCAGAGATTACTTAAGAGGGAAAAAAAAAGATTCACACCAATACAGAATGGAGAGGACGTGACATGACAATGAGTCATTTGAAAAAGAGCCAGATATTTTAACATCTGCTCCTGGAGCCAATGATATGATGGGGTTTTTTAGACTAAATTAATGAACTCTCAGGCTAGAGTAGCAGAAGCAATGTTTATGGTCAGAGAGAAATAAATCACACTAGTGAGTACAAGTCAGATTACATGTAGAGTATTCTATTCCATTCTGGAAGATTCTGACAAATTGGAATGCATGTAATGCAGTCCAGAACCAGAAAGCATCCAGAAACCGTATGACATCAGGGCACTGGAGAAGTTTATCCAGGAGTAGAAAGACCCAAAAAAGCAAAAGCCACCCCGTAGTAGTTGAATGCTCTTGGCAACTGATCCAGGTCCAGTGGTACAGGGTTGGTAAGAAGCAGTCTTTGGTGCTATCTTCAAACAGAAGATGGAGGGCTACCAGTGAAGGAAAGAAGAGAAGGCTCTTCATGTTGGGAGGGAAGTGAAGACCAGGTAAGCCCTATCCAGGGGCTCTTTCCAAGTCTAAGGCATCTGTAATTCCGAAAGACTATGTCCAGTATAAGGAAAAAAGAGAGCAGCTTACTCAATTGCCACAGCTAACTTTTAACAGATAGTCCATACTTGATGTGCCCAGCTCTGTACCAAGCGCTTTCCACATGGGGAAACAGAGCACGACAGGGCTTATAGGAATTCAACTTCTGAGAAATGATAGGATACCATTATTACATGACCAAGTGTTTCTAAAGTGCTTCTATTATCCAGAGAGAGGGGGGGGGAGGAGGGGGGGCAGAGTGTGGGGGGGGGGGGGGGGGGCAAGAAAAAAATGGAAATAAATTCTTCATGCTCTAGGCAGAGCAACTAATAAAAAAAAACAACACTAATTTCAAAAAGACGTATGTACCCCTATGTTTACTGCAGCATTATTTATAATAACCAAGATATGAAACAAACAGAGTATTCATCAATGGATGAATGCATAGGGATTATGTAAAGGGGGTGTATGTGTGTATGTGTGTGTGTGTATACTCATATATACATCTATAATACATATATACATATACATTATATATATAAATGAATACTGTGCTTTATATATATAGGAATATATATAAGGAATATTAAGAATATGCATATACATACTATAGATCTATGGATAGATATGGAGGTATTTAGGAATCCTACTCAGCCATAGAAAGATTGAAATCTTACTATTTGCAACAACATGGATGAAGCTTGAAGGTGTTAGGCCATGTGAAATAAGTAAGAAAGAGAAAGAGAAATCCATGTATTACTTTTATGTGGAACCTAAAAAATAAAACAAATGAACAAAATCAAATAAAACTCATGGATACAGAGAACCAGAAGGGTGGCTGCCAGAGGAGAGGAGGGTGGGGGGGGGTCAAGTGAAATGAATGAAGGGAGTCAAGAGGTTTCAATTCTAGTTATGAACTAGCAACGGAAGTCTAACACTTGTGGCCAAATTATCATCGGACACTTTAAGAAACAAGCCTCAGTAAGCCTTCAGATCAACTGTGTATTTGTACATTTCAAGGGAATGATTTAAAATGAATGGTAAAGAGATGGCTTTGAGAAATGTATCTAAGGGGAGGGGTGGGGAATGGGCTAAATGGGGGAAGAGGGAGGAGACACAGGCTTCCAGTTATGCAATCAGTAAGTCACAGGAATAAGAGACACAGCATAAGGAATGCAGGTAATGATACTGTAATAGTGTCGTCTGGGACACATGAGAGCTATAGCTGTGGTAAGCACAAATGCATAAGCTTGCTAAATCACTAAGCTGTACTCCTGAATCTAATGTAACATCGTGTGTCCACTATATTCAGCAACAACAACAAAAGACTGTAGGGTGTGCCTGGCTGGCTCGGTCAGTAGAGCATGTGACTTGGGGGTGAGTTTGAGCCCCACACTGGGTATAGAGATTACTTAAAAATAAAATCTTAAAAGAAGAATATATATGTGATTTGATAAAAAGAATACTGCTTCTTTCACCTTACCAATAGAAGTAATGGCTCCAATATAAATTCAACATTTCCTACAGACTTAGACTGATCTATTCCTACTAGAATTTACAAATGTGTTTGAAACAAATACTTCTACTGAAACATGGCATAAATCTCCTCACTTTCTTTTCCAAATCAAAATTGGACACAAAGCCTATTTTTATGGGGAGACACGTGAAGAGAGTTCCTCTGGTTTTGCACCCAGTGGTTCTCTTTGGAACACTGGGGCACTGTAGTTATAAAACACAGAATTTTCCAGCTAACAGAAATACTTGGAGAGCAAGTCAAGCAGCTACAAGGTACCACAAGGGACTAGTAAAAGAACCAAGGAGCCCAAATACTCAAGATCTCCTGGGAGTCCTGTCCCCAGCTCAATTCCAGGTTCCTTCCACTCAACCAAATGCCAAGAAAAAAAAAAACTGAATTTTTTAGTCCTATATATTAAGATTAACCAGAAGAGGTGTTAGAAAGCATCATGATTTTCACTGGCTTTGAATGTTTGCCATACTACCCATATTGATCGAAAACTACTTACTTCCAAGGCATAATACACTGGTTTGTCTCTGCCAAGCTTATAAGCCACTGTGGTCAGAAGGCCATGCTCAGAAAACACACACTGTAGGAAGGAGAAAAATACTTCAGTAGCCAGGAAAATAAAAAGATAGCAGAATAGTATTTTTTAAAGCTAAGATGACCTAAGTACAAAAATAATTCAATAAATATGTAACAATTTAAAAGAGTCAAAATTACCAGTATTAAGAACAACACATTTAAACAGTACAAAATGTTTATTCCTTGTTCCAAATTAGATTTGCATTAAGAATCTGACATGGCCTTAGTATAGATATCCCACCAACAATCAAAAACACACATAAAAATTTCAAAGAACCTAAAATAGTTCTTACTAGAGCCACTTAAATTTAGTGATTTTCATCATTTTTATTGAGCTCTAAATTAAACCCTAATAAAGATTAAATAAAATCTGCAGAATAAGTAACCTAATAGCAAATTATACTCAAGCATTATTTATATGAAGTTAGAGAAGACTTTCAAAACCAACCTTGCGGCCTGTATTACATAGTAAGAAACAGCCTGTTCCATACCTATAGTTGGGGGAAGAAGGAACAGCGTGACAAGGTTATTAAAAATAAATCATGAAACATCAATAATACAAATCATTTAAACTGACATACAATAAGTCATTATCTTAAAGTTTTAGACAATTTCCAAAAGTTTACAAGCATTACGTATTCCTTTTGGAATAACATTTTAAAGACTAAGTCTAGAAGAAAATGTACTTACTGCAATCCTAATGGAAAAATGCAAGCATAGTATTTAGTGCCTAGTCACAATCTAGGGCTATGTGTATAGAATATCACCAAATGACAACAAAGTCTACATCCCAGTCCCAGTGACATTGCTTCTAACCCACGTGGAATGAAGCATTTCACCCATGGGGCTGGCTGCTTAGCTCTGTTATTAGTACAGTCATGAACTGCTATCTTCTGCTATCTTCTGCCCTGGAGGGGGGAGGCTAGGACCAGAATGCGGGAAAGTGGAGATGGACCTCAGCCAGAGTGGCATAGAGAGGAAAGCTACTAAAGGCCTCACTTTCCCATTCTCTCTGCAGGGTAGGCCATTCTAACAGGTGGGAGGGTCAGAGTGAGAATGGAACATGGCTGCCATGGAAGAAGTGAATTTATTTTACTGCAGCCATGTAAGTATAAGCTTTGGACTCTGCAACAAGTCTGGCATTTGGACATGAGTGAGTAGTTTTGACGTGTGCCAGGAAGAGAAGTAATCCAAAGTGATACCAGTAAGGGTCACAGGGAAACAGTTTTCCATGGAGCTGGCTGTGACTGTCACCCTTGGCGCTCTACAAACTATTCTGCCAAGGCTTGAGATCCCGCCCTATGAGCCTTGCTGCTGTGTAATTTGATATTCCAGCAGGTGGGAGATCAGGGAGCACTCAGTTCAGGGCCAGGCAGAAGGATCACAGCAGAAGCCACCACTAGTAAGCACTAAGTCAGCAGGCCCCATCATGTGGGTGTGAAGCAAATAGAAACGAAGGGCATTTTTTTTTTCTAGCGAACATTCTTCCAGGCACCACTGTTGTGAATAAGAAGTAACCCAAGACGGTCTACCTCTTTTCACTCAAATATATTCTTTGCCTGTAGACAAACAGCCAACACATTCAGGGAGCATGTGATTAACGAATATCTACATTTTTAAAGACACCAGTCAACTAAGATTATGTATGGGTAATAATACATTTATGAAGGAAAACACACAAATCACAATACCCTTTTATTTCCACAATGCTGGAAAAGCTATGAATGCTAAGTTAATCTCCTTTAATAAATATTCTTAAAAATGATTATCTGTTTCATGCCTTAAAAAGTTAATTACCTATTTCACATTTTTAAAGGAGAAGCCCCCATATTAACACCCTGCACACCGAACAACAGTATGTTAAGTCTGAAAGTATCAAACTGACACAGAGGCTCAAGGCATTTAATAAAAGTGAATTCTTAAGTGAGTATACTTCACGTGTAATTAATGAGCATTATCAATGTATGAAGAGACTCTTGCTACCTATAGGCCACAATCTGCAAAGCAGTACACAGGCAATTATTGTCCTCTGAAATTTTATGATTTTTTTCTTCCCAGACATCAAACATACATGGAGCTTTCAGCATTTATATGGCCTGCCTATCCCTTCTCAAGACGGTGCTGTGTTTGAGCATCCCAGAAGGATGTCTGACTTTTCTAACCTCTGTGACGGCGAAGGCTGCCCACTATCCCTGATGGAGGAACGAGCCACAGCTTGCCCACAGGACGAGGGTGAATGGCCCCAGCCAAAGCCATGAGGGACAAGGCTTCCTTTAGAATACTTAATGCCTCTGGGGAGAGAGGTCATCTATCTTAGGTTCTTGTCCTTAAAAGCAAAATTAAATGTTCAAATAATCCACATTCATTCAAGAAAAATCAGAAAATACAGAAAAGCAGAAAGAAAAATGAGAATCACCCGTAATCCGTTCCTCCGCACTAAAACAGAGATGGGCTTTCCAGTGAATTCTGAGCTACCTGTCCTGTGCTCCCTGCTGAGGTTTGAAGAGACTGAGCCAGTTCTCAGCCCCACCCTCTGCAACCTCTTTGGACTTCATTTTGACGATCGCTTCTCTCTCATTCATTTTACAACTCCCATCTGGTCTCTACTCAGACTCCAAAAAATACAATGCACAGTGGCTGTGCAGGTCCTCCATAAGCCCTCCCTGGCTTAGACTAACCCTTCAGGACTTGTGTGATAACACTTCCGCAGGAAGGGAGTCAAAAGAGGAGGAAAAGCCAACAATTTTATAGGGAACGTCCCATGTGCTCTACACCATGCTAGGTACTTGACAGAGGACAGAGACGCTCTGATTTACTAGCACTAGCGTGACTGGCAAAGGAAAAAGGGCGGAGAGTTAAGAGCCTAGTTTTCTAGTATGTCTGTTGACTCCTGGTGCAGCTGCCTAGAAGCCAGAAGAAAGAGCATGTTCCCAGACCTACGCTCACGCTTGTTCAGGCTCTCTCAGTCATAACCTCAGGATACCTTGATCTGCAAGACTTTACCTATCTCCCCTCCTCCCCCACCAAACCTCACATGGATGATGTCACACTGTCACATGAAGACCGCTGAGCATGCCAGACCACAAGAGCAATTCATTAAAAAGGTTAGATATTCCATTATTCACAAAAGAAGAATTTAACCACTGCGGTAAACATTGATGACATAATTAGGAAATCCTCTAGAAAAAAATAAATGTAGATAGTCTCCTGCTGGGTTAATGTGCGTCTCTCCTACACAGAGTACAGTAATACGAGAGAGGTTCAGAGCCCCAGCTAAGTGGAATCAGATGGATCTGGGGGCAAAGACCACTTATTTCACTTACTAGCTTAACTACTCTGAACAGGTTTTCTTATCTGAAAAATGCAAGAAATCTTATCTTTTAGATATGGGGCTTGTTCAGATTCCCCATGAAGGAGTAGTAAGGAGATAAGATTAGGAAACAAATTCACCAAACCTCTACTTCCATCATTCCTTCTACTTCTTTTTTCTTTTTTTTAAAGATTTTATTTATTTATTTGACAGAGGTCACAAGTAGGCAGAGAGGCAGGCAGAAAGAGAGGAGGAAGCAGGCTCCCTGCTGAGCAGAGAGCCCGATGTGGGGCTTGATTCCAGGACTCTGGGATAATGACCTGAGCCTAAGGCAGAGGCCTTAACCCACTGAGCCACCCAGGTGCCCCTCCTTCTACTTCTTTTAGAAGGAAAAACTCTAGGTAATGAGGAGAAAGCACAATGCCAGGAAAACAACATGGAAAATCCCACAAAAATATACCTTTACAATTTAGTGAGAAAGACTAGGGCAGGAACAGTGTATGTGGAGAAATATAGTTCATTTTGAAATTTTTTCTTTAAATTAAAAAAAAATTAAAGATTTTATTTATTTGAGAGAGAGAGAGAGAGAGAGCCAGCAAGAGAGAGCATGAGCTGGGCAAGGGCGGTGGCCGTTGAGGGCCAGAGGCAGGGGGAGAAAAGACCATCTCCCGCCTCCCCACACTGAGCAGGGAGCCTGATGTGGGGCTCGATTCCAGGACCCTGGGATCATGACTTGAGCTGAAGACAGACGCTTAACCACCTGAGCCACCCAGGTGCCCCAAACATTTATTAAAGTATTCTCTACCCCCAACCTGGGGCTTGAACTCACAACCCTGAGATTATGAGTCACATGTTGTACAGACTGAGCCAGCCAGGCGCCCCTGAAACATAGTTTAAATCATGGCTCTTCCTCCTGTCTGCTCTGCCCTCCTCCACTCCCCATCCCCACCCCACCAAAACCATTAACACTTTAAACCAAAATTTAGTTTCTGGATGGAAAAATGTATTGAATGAAGATCTTTTCAAGCCTCAGCAGTGTGTTTCCATATGGCATAATGTATTTTATTCGAAGAAGAGAAGGAAAACTAAATGGCAAAGAACTTACTAGAACTCCTAAGCTATTGATTTTTAGCCTGGATGAACTTCAACAGCTTTTCCTCATTCAAAGGACCAAAGGGACAAACAAACAAACAAAACAGTACTGGTTTTTGGGTCTGTTTCTTCAACTCACGTATTTTTGGCTTGACCATCCTGGAAGCACATTTGTCCCACCAATGCAGCAGACTGGTCCCCCAAACACTGAAAGCATCAATGACAATAAAGAACACTAAGACAGTATCATTACTTTCCCCTTTAGAACAGCCATAGGATTTATTTTTCCTTTCCTTCTTTTATCAAGGAATGAAATGTCTTGATTTCTGCATTGATTCCATTTGGCCATTTCCCCATTTCCTAATATCCCCTACAAGATACTAGGTATGGGAAGGAAGAGTTAGAATTTGGTCAAAATGTTCTCAGTGGCCCACACTGTGGCACCTAAGAACAAGAATCAGCCAATTCTGCTGCTTTCACCTTTTTTCCATAGTTTCAGAAGGGGCAGACTGATTAAGATAGAGGAAGAAACCCCCTCACACGAAAGCAGGTAGGGTTGGGGAAGTAGCAGGGAGAGGAAACTTACCCCAGATATTGGCACACCTTCCAAGGCCCCAGCTTTCTAATAAAATTTTAAAAAAGGATTATGAGTAACCACAAACTATTATCTCTACTAACACAACTGCAACAGGAATGAACACAAACAGCAACATGCCAGAGCATGTGGGCAGACAAGACAAAGCAAGTGTTTCAACTACATATGTGGTTCAATGACAGATACGAGACATATTTCTAGAATGACAAGACAACACATGGTATTGGTGAATGGACATTAAACACTGGGCTGGGAATCAGAAGACAAGGGGTCTACTCTTGGTTAGTTAGTGTTAAGTCCCTGAGCAGGCTGCTGAAACCTCTCTATGCCTCAGTTTCTTAATATATAAAATGGAGTCTAGGTAACATGAATGCCTAGGTCTGATAGCTCTTTGTTATCATTGCCATTAATAAGGAAAACGAACACATCCTTTAAAACAAACATATGAATAGCTATCAAACTGGCATGGAACAGCCTCATTTTGGAAGGTTGTATTTTACCAAGTATCCTTCCTTAACCAAACTGCTTTTAAGAGAAGTAAGAAACCCAAGAGCATTTGGGTCTTGGGTATTATTTGTTCATAGCCGACATCATTTTTCAAATTTAGATAAGCAAGAGTTAATTTAGGTCACACATAATGGTTTTTATTTAGATCAAATATGACTAGCATACCAGGGAGAAAAATGAGATTTAAGTGGCTGTGTATTTTACCAAACTTCATTTTTTAAAAAAATTCTAATACAAAGGAATTTCTACTGGTATTAAGGAATTAGGGGGAAGGAACGTGATCCACGAAGTAGTGTGATGTACTAGGAACAGGGCCAAAAAAAAGCTTTCTATGGACTGCCCCCTTGGTCTCCCACTGGTGAGCCTCTAGGAGCTTCAGATTCCCTATCCAGAAGAACAGAAGCTGCCTCACATAGGTACGATAAGGAAGCAATTAGCATATATGTGGAAACCCTGTACAAAATAGAAAACATCTTCTAGATGGTAGATATTATTTTATTTCTTTCATGCCTTCCGTTTAATTCAAGACCTCTCTTTTTATTTACTGGATATACTCTTAGGAAACCTGAACCTGGATTAATAAGCGAAGGGCACACTTCATAAGGAACTGAAAGTGAACCCGTAGGAAACCGAGAGGCTGTCTATCTTCATACATTTAAATACGAGAAGGCTTTGCTGACACTATGGAGGTATTATCAAACTACCAGCGGGATCTATTCATGTGCATTCCAGCACATAAAGCGCTCCTTTTCCTTCACAGGGAGGGAGGGGGTTTCTGGAGGATTCCTGGGAACATCCTCTGGTGAAGCATGCAGAAAAAGTGACAGTGCATTTCCAACTAACTAGTCTGAAAGGCTGGTCAAGTATCACTTACAACAGGCATTTAGGACATTTAAAAACCACATCTAATTTCCCTGTTAACGCCAAAGCCCAAAGCACATCACAACTGTACTTTGTCATGGGGAGTATCAGAATTTCTCATTCCAAGAAACTAGCTTAGTCTTTTACTTTGAAACACCACTTTCAGTGTTATGGGAAATTTAAAAACAAACAGACATGACTGAGTTTGAAGAAAACCTGGAGCTTGTCTAGAGCTTATAGCAATTTGGAGGCTCATGGATATTCTAGATAAATCTGCTTAGTAGTAAATGGACTTCTTCTTGTCTAAAACTAAACGGAAATGCACTGTTATCTTTTCCAAATGAATGGGTAGCATAATTGGTGGGCAACCTACTCACCAGACTATGAGAGATTTTCTATAGTCAGCAAGGGGAAAAAGGAGGACAGAAGCACAATATTTTAAATGCAAGAAAAAGACTAGGCCAGTAAATGCTTTTCCAACCATTCTCTAAAACTGTTTCTCAAGGGTAAGTTTTTTTCTCTGACCCCACACAGTCTGTAGACAGCTATTAAGTCATCTAAGCACTTTTACTGCAGTTGAGCCGTGCTTCTCTTAGAAACTTCCATGAAGTTTTACAAGGCTTTTTTATAAAAGAAATATTTACGAACTCTGCTCAAGCTTTATCCAGAGCACTTAGTAATCAACTCTATTATTATTAACTCTATAAGTACAGTTTCTATTATCTGTGAAATGTCTAAACAATGTATTTTTCTGGTAGCTGACCTTAGACATATTTTTAAATTTTATCGTAAATTCTAGATTTTTGTGCTCAAATACCAGTTCAAATCCTCCTGGAGGTTTTCATCCCTGACGTGTAATCAGAGATACTCAATGACGCTAAGCACACTTTTTGCTGAAAGTACTTTTTCTCCCAGTTTTAGTGAAGGCAACAGTAAAATGTCCCTTATGGAAACCAGTTTAATTAGCAATCACAAATCAGAAACAGACTCTTTGTTTTCAGTTTCTTTGCTAAAGTTTTGCTCAGGCTGACAAAAAATCTAATATAAAAACGTGGTCTGGCCATGAAAAGACATACAATAGGAGAAAGAACACTAAAATGTGAAGAGTCCTTCCTCTAAATTGTAAGCACAAACTACTAAAGTTATTTCAACTAAAAGAATAAACAGGCTCAAACATTCCCATGCCACCCTCTGTAGTTAATTATTCCATTAATACTTTGAAAGTAGAATACTTAAAGAACGGCCAATTAAAGTTTATGAAATATAAAACCAACTGGTAAAAAGGATTCTAAAATTTTTAAGTTATAGAACTATTTAAGCAGCACTAAATTCTTAAATTATATACTACCACACTTACAGAAAAGTCACAACTCTCAAACTAGAAAATGTCACACAACTGACTTGAATTCTGAATAGTAGAGCTTTTTTTTTTTTTAAATGGAATTAATTTTTTTTGTTGTTACCATTAGGCCATAGATCTCAGAAGAACTCCGGACATTTGGAAGAATCTTCATCGGAATTTCAAAAAATCTGAAAAACAGTATGATAAGACTGGTTATATAACACTATTTTAAATAAATATCTAGAAATATTTATATGTTTTTAAAGGACAAAATGTAAATAGTTATTAAAGATGGACGTATTTGAGCATGGAGTTAAATAATAAGCCAGCAGAACATAGATGTATGTTTGGGTATTTATCATTCTATCTTTATACAAGCCGATAAAAAATAAGAAGCACGCAGAAAACAAAGTATTTTTTTTTCTTACAAAAGACTTTTCGAAAGAAACCTAACTTCCTAAACAAGATAATAAATTTGGCTTGTTTGCTATATATTCAACAATAGTCTCTTTTTTGAATACACAGTATAGACTTGTATATTTGTAGTTGAGATATCGACAAAGTTTGTTGCTCCACCAACATAAGAAAATAGTAAGATTTAGGTTATAAATAGTAATGGGAAATGCTTTTTAGGGCAAAACACAACTCACTCGCAGAGCTCTTTATCCCATTCCAGAGAGTGAATGTTGAAAAGCATTGTCCTACTTGCATTTGTTACATCTGTACAGTGGACACCTCCATTGGCCCCTCCTGTCAAACTCTAGACAGAATAAAAGCACAGGTTAGATTTGTACTAATTTGCTATTTATTTATTTTTATTTTTAAAAAGATTTTAAAATATTCAGATTTAGTTGAGAGAGAGAGAGGGCATGTGAGCAGGAAGAGGGGCAGAGGGAGAGGGAGAGGGAGAGAATCCTCAAGCAGACTGCCCACTGAGCACAGAGTCCAATGCAGAGCTCCAAATCAGGACCCTGGGATTGTGACCTGAGCCAGTATCAAAAGTCACATGCTCAACCAACTGAGGCACCCCTAATTTGCAATTTAATTTACATGCTGTCAAGGGCCATAATCAGTAGCAGAGTGCATGAAGTAGGAGAACAGAATATGTCAATCATTTAATTTTCTAGTTTTCAGCAGTGTCCAATAGAAATACAATGCTAGCTACATACATAATTTTAAATTTTCTAATAGCTACATTTAAAAATATAAAGGTAAAATTAATTTTAATAATACTATATGTTTTATTTAGCTCAATATAGCCAAAGTACCCTTTTATTTATTTAAGATTTTATTTTTAAAAGTTTTTTCAAAATTACTCAATATGGGGCAGAGAGTACTTGAGAATACGAATTTACAACCAATATGAAATTACAACCCTGAAATCAATAGTTGCATGCTCCAGTGGCTGAGGAGACCAGGCACCACCCCCAAAACACCCTTTTAATATGAAAAATTATTACTGAGACAACTTACCTATGTATGTATTTATTTTATTATTTTTTAAAAGATCTTATTTATTTATGTGAGAGAGACAGACAGACAGCAGGGACAGGAACACGGGCAGTGGGAGTGGGAGAGGGAAAGCAGGCTTCCTGCCGAGCAGGAAGCCAGATGTGGGGCTTGATCCCAGAACCCCAGGATCAGGACCTGAGCTAAAGGTAGACGCTTAACCCTCTGAACCACCTAGGCACCCCTATTTTATATTATTTTATTTTATTTTATTATTTTAATTAATCTCTACATCCAACATGGGGCTTGAACTCACAACCCCTAGATCAAGAGTGGCATGTTCTACGGACTGAGCCAGCCAGGCGCCCCAACATTTCACCTAATTAAGCATAGTATATATTTTACACTCACTGAACATATCGATTATTTGATATTTAATATTTTATATGGCTAGGAAGCAGTGCTTTCCCATATTTGAAGTGTTCAGTAGCCACACGTGCTTAAGTGGCTACCATATTAGACAACAGCGTTCTAGTAAATTGTTAGCTAAACCGAAAAAACATCAGTTTTGTTTTCATCTGTTATCTTTGGAAAAGGCAGTCTTACCACATTTGGCAAAATGAAATATATCAGCATGTCTGCCTCTTCAGGATCTTATAGAACTCTGTGCTGCTGTTCCTCTGTTTGTGATTTTGTTTTTTGGAATAACAATTCTCACTGGGTTGTGCCTACCCAAGTATGTATCCTGAAAGCAGAGTTTTAAAATCTCCTGTGTTAATACCCCCCAGCACTGCTGCTTTCTTTTGTGTGGGTGCAGTAAGAGGTAAGAAAGGAACAACAGAGCAGAAAAGGAATCTCAGGAAAAAAAAAAGAAAGAAAAAAAAAGATAAGGCATCTCAGCACCTACGCCCCCAACCCGCAGCTAATCCCTCAGCTCACAGGGGCCCCACCCTGCCTTACTCTGGTTTCAAACAACTGACTGTCAGAACTACTGTGAGAAGTATTTCAATGTGACAGGTATGAAAACTGCGGGCCAAGAGAGCACCAACCCCAGCGTGGCCTGGCCAAGCACAGGGAGGGCTGGGGAATGCACTTCTTCCTAGTGCTGGTTCTAGAAGATCTGCTCTGTGGATCTGGCAAGTGAGAACGGGGACAATATTCCTCTGAAGCTCTCCTGAATGTTGAAAAGATAATCACATACTTACTAAAGTAATTACAAATGAAATGGTATGTGTGGGGATTTGCTTTAAACTTCTCTGTGGGGAAAAAAGTGTGTGAGTGTAGCTGAAACAAGACTGGCCATAGCTGATTGCCGTAGCTGGTACACTGTTGCACAGGTTCATTACACTATTCCCTCTCTTGGGTATAGCTGAAAATGCCCATAATAAAAATAACAAAAGAACAAACAAAGAGAAAGGGGGAGAGAGAACATGTACTTTTGAGATAACTCTGGGAAATGTCTAAAATGTTAGTTTCTACTCATCTGTGTTCAGCTTAGGCAAAAAGATTATACTTCAAAATTCCATTAAGATTTTTTCATATTATGGCTTAAAAAGAGACAGCTGCGGAATGCTCAAAGCCGATGATAGTCACAGAGGTGTTCTATTATGTTAAATAGTTACTTCCTTTAAGAAATGACCACTGGAGGGCGCCTGGGTGGCTCAGTGGGTTAAAGCCTCTGCCTTCGGCTCAGGTCATGATCCCATGGTCCTGGGATAGAGCCCCACAAGGGGCTCTCTGCTCAGCCGGGAGCCTGCTTCCTCCTCTCTCTCTGCCGGCCTCTCTGTCTACTTATGATCTCTGTCTGTCAAATAAATAAATAAAATCTTTAAAAAAAAATGACCACTGGAAAAGAGCGTATGATAGGCAAGAAGAAAAAGACTACCTAAATTATGAATTACTAATTAATTACCTAAATTACCTTTTCTAAAGATAATAAATATGAGATGTGGTTTTGGTAATCACCCTCCATTTTTATGGCAATAAAGCAAGAAAAGTAAGGAAGATGTAGGCAAAAATGCCTTTTCCAAAGCATCTATTTAAAAATTTTTGAGGAAAAATTCACATTAGATTAACCATTAATCAGTTCAAAGCAGACAACTCAGTGGCATTTAGCACATTCATGATGTTGTGCACCCACACCTCTATCTAGTTCCAAGATATTTCCAGCAACACAAAGGTATACTCTGTATCTATTAGTAATCATTCCCCCCTTCCCTCAGCCCCCTACAACCTCTTCTACTTTCTTTTTGCAAAAATGCCTCCTAAATGGAGGCTGAAATGTTCTGCTCTCTCTCAAGTGGCTTTTCTTAATAATTTTGCCAGCTAACAAGTTTCAACTCGAGATGCCTGGTGGCTCAATTGGTTAAAAGACAAACTTTGATTTTGGCTCAGGTCATGATCTCAGGGTCATGAGAACGCACATCAGCTCCAAGCTGGGCATGGAGCCTGCTTAATATTCTCTTTCTCTTGCCCTCTGCCCCTCTCCCAGCTCATGCATACACACACACACACACACACACACGCTCGCTCTCTCTCTCAAAGAAATAAATAAAATCTTTTTTAAAAAGTTTGAACTCTTAGTAGAAAATAGAAGACCATCTAAAAAAATTCTCAAAAACTTTCTCCATACATAACATTATATTTAAACGTACCCAAATAAGCCATGAATCAATGGTCCCAAAAAGAGCTCTATCTTCTTCAACAGCCCTTTGAACTTTTCTCACATTGTCAAGGAGCCAACGAAGTTTCACCGCACTGAAGTAAGTGCTAAGTGGAAGGCCTGTCTTGGACTAAACACAGTCATGAAATTCACCCAGCAAATTGAAATAAAACACCAAACCAAAAACCCCAACCAATAGCAAAATATTCAATGGCCCTAAAGTCAGTCCCATGGTAATATGGATAAAAATAATTTTCCTATCTCATGGCACAGAAAAGCATGTTCATGAATAAAAATCAGCGTGATATGTTTGCAGTTCAAAGAGTATCCACGCTGCAAGGTAAAGAGAAAATTAAATGACACAACAACCTATAATCTAGATGGTGAGCAAGTAGATGTTAGCTTTTGTGTTATTACGTGCAGAACCTAGTCTGAAATTCTGCCTTTTCATTTTGTATTTCATGAAAGTGAAAATTTAAACTATTAAAAATCAGAGTATATTAAATGGTAACCAGAAAAATTTAGGTTTTAAAACACATATAACAAACAATACACTTGTATGTGTAAAAAAAATATATATATATACACAAACGCACATATTCAAATAACACAAGTGGAGAATAAAGTAGAGCTCAAGGACATGCCAGAAGAAAGCAACACTGAGTTGCTCTGTATTAACAAAGTAGTTGTCTAAAAACTCAGCGATTACATTAAACAAAGGGAGGGTGTACTGAATAAAGGATAAATGCTAAGTATAAAATACATATGGGCTTATCAGTCTTCCTCGAGAACAGATCAGATCCAACTCTTGTTTTTGTTAGTACATTAAATATCAAATATATTTATAAGAGCTGATGAAAGTGGTTAGGAAGATACATACATCAAAATAATGCAACTATCTTTCGCCTCCCCCAATCCTTAAGTTTCCTGATTTATCCCCTAATTACAGTAAGTGATACCTTTTTCCTTCTTATCTGCTATGGGTATGTTTGATAAGAAAATTCAGACCAGACCAATACTTCAATGCACCCTCTAAGTTATGACTCTTAACTCATGTTTTCTAGCTTTCCTAGAAAAAAAGTAAGACGGGTACTCAAAAGTGAGGAGAGAAGTAAGTTATGAGATTATTCCTCTTTGATTTGAAGGACCAAGGGTCATCCCACAAAGTCAACAGTGAGGCAGTTGATAATATCTCGTTTTAATGATTTAGGCACCAAGTTTAAAAGTTGCCTAAAATGGTACTGAAGTGGGGGGTGGGATGGAGAGGGTTGTTGGGTTATGGACTTTGGGGAGGGTTTGTGATATGGTGAGTGCTGTGTAGTGTGTAAACCTGACAATTCACAGACCTGTACCCCTTGGGCAAATAATACATTATATGTTAATAAAAATAATTTAAAAATTGTAAAAAAAAGAGCACTGAAGAGAAAAACATGCATCACTTGCAGCAAAGTGCAGCTGGGGGGGTGAGGGTTGGGCAGGGTGACAATGAGGAACAGAATAGGAAATGGGTAGGGGTATATTTAGGACTAGCTTGATAGTTATTCAGGGGGTGAGGGTAGGGAATGATTTGTTAAACTGCTACAATTAATGGGATTTGAACCCTAGTTTCAGAACCAAGAACCACTGTTTTAAGAGTCCGACTGACAAATATGAAGATATGCCAAAAAACCAGAACTTCTTTTGGATGGTAGGAGAAGTGGGCCCTGACCTTCATAAGAAAAATACCTTGCCTGTTTCAAAAATTCTCTCTCCCTTAATTTAATTCGAGAGCTCTAATTATGGACTGAAATTTATGCACTTTCTATCAGCCTCCTTCATATGAAAAAACTGGAAGGAGTTCCGTGAGGTGTTGGAGTGACTTTTCTCTCCCTGAATCCCGATGCCTAAAAACTCAAAAGCATCCAGAATTTTCTAGAAAACAAGAGGGAGTATGGTTTAAGCCACTGGGACACTTTATAATCCCCTCCAGACTATCAACCTCAGAATACGAATCATCTAATCCACCACAGGGCAAGAAGACAGAAAGGTAAATACTTTCGTTGTCCTTAACTGTCTGCAGAGAATAGCATAACGTATCAAATAACTAGTGTGCAACAGGATGTAAGGCCCAATTAGTATTTCAGGTGAAATCTCTAAATCTTTTTTAAGAATAAGCATTCTTACAGTATACTTTTGAAGCGATCTCTTACCTTGACAAAGTTATTATTTCCTGGAATTCTTTTACTAAGATTCTCAACGGTAGACTGGGTTCTTAGGTCAAGCCACACTATAGACCAAAATATAACAACATATATGAAAAACTTCATTTAAAAAATCAGATCTTACTGAAATCACTGTCAAGGACAGGAGACTGATTAGTTTCCATAAGCAATTAAAATGCTGAGCTTTCAAAGGATTGAAATTAGAAAATTAGAAATGAATGGGCATATTGTTAGAAAAAAGAATAAATTTATGAGGAAGAATTTAAAGCTTTTATGCCAAATTACAGACCAAGTTAGGAGAACAATACAAACCTGAGGGCACTCATTTGGTATCGTTTTTATAGGAAAAAAAAAAACCATGAAAAAATGTTTTGGATAAGAAGTTTCTAAGAATACATGAGTACAGAGAAAATCTTCATGCTCCACAGGCCAGTTGCCAGGGCTGTAAGACACAGGTCAGGATGACTGTACTAGGTAAAAGCAGGTACCTTATAAAACTTGGGAGCAATTTGTGACAAAGCACAGAACCTGGTACTATTTATTGAAGGAAAAAGTAAGATTCAGTCTCCCATGTATGAAATGCTTCTGTACATTAAACTCCTCCATTTCAAAAGCAGGCTAGAAGCCAGAATTGTTGAATTATTTAAAGGTCGCCATTCTTGTTCCATGCTGGATCATAAAAAATCTATTTTGGAAGATCAACATTATTTACACTAGTAAGTAGCGTCCACTTTCTGATCCTCTAGTGAAAATATTTTCTGTTCTGCTTCCTGACAGAAGGCCTGAGAAAGAGAAGGTATCACACAGTACATAAAGCAACTGTGGAAGGTAACCGATAGGTCAGCGGAGTTCTGTTTGTCAGATTTAAGTTTTGCACTTAACTTCTATCACTTTTAATCTATTAGCGGTCAGTTGGTATTTTTAGGCAGTGACTGTGCTCAGATGCCTCCTGAAAAGCCTCAGGCCCATAGTTTATTTAAAGGGCACCAGGAAAGATAAAATAGGCTTGGCCACTTACACATGTGAATGCTGGCCACTTAATCGCATAGTTTGGTTCACCCTTTCGACTATTCCTTTCTACTCATGTAAAAACAGTTCTTTTCGGTAGTGAATTTTTATCAGTTCTTTGTAATTACTTAGTCATTTCCCCTGAGGGCTGCCTGAGCTTATTTTGACAGTGCCTATTTCAAGACAAGAGACTGGTTTCTGGAGCACCTGGGTGGCTCAGTCGGTTGGGCGTCTGCCTTTGGCTTGGGCTGTGGTCCCGGGATCCTGGGATCAGGCCTGACATCAGGCTCCCTGCTCAGTGGGGAATCCACTTCTCCCTCTCCATCTGCTTCCTCCCCCCTCCCACCCCCTTCATGCTGTCTCTCTCAAATAAATAAATAAAATCTTTAAAAAAAAAGTGGTTTCTGCAGGTGTGAGAAGAGGCAAGAAAAGGCTCGTCACAGCTGAGGAAAGAGGAGGCAGAGAGGGACGCCAGGGGAATCCGTGGTCTGTAGCCCACATCTGCATTTGCTGCCTGTATTTCTCTTGCTCCTGGGAACAGTATCTCAAATTCTCTTCAGGAAATTGTCCCTCCCTCAGTCTCAGTCCATGTGGTTTGCCAGGGATTCGACCCTACCCCCAGCTCCAGGATCAAGCATGTCCCCATCCCAGTGACTGGTTCGGTAGACAGTGTGTGGTCCAATCAGCCCTACGGAGATTTGTGCTCAGTCTTCCAGAGCCCCTCTCCTCAGCACCACTAGGCAGTGTGTGGCTGGGCCTGCTGCCCCCACCAAGAGAGAGCTGAACTGGCTCCAGCGGAAGCCATCCCAGAAGACTTGCAGGGAATTCAGGTCATATGGTCCAAGTCTAGAATCAAACAGCATCTGAACTAAGCTACTGTTTCACTACTGGTTCCGTGAACAAAAGAATTATTTTTTAAAACATTTTTCACTTTATTTAACTAGGGTTGTGCTTTCTATTCCTTGCGCTGTGATTGATGTAAGCCATTAGCAGCAGCTGCATGGAGTTGGCAAGAACTCCCCTGTCAAGGGCACCAAGGCAGTCTGCTTTTCACAGAGGGGCCATATGGCATGACTGCAAAAAAAGTAGACTTTCCTCACAGGCAACCCCAGCAGATGTTAACAGAAGTAATGGGGAAAAGGAGAGGAATTCAACAGAGAAGTTTTGAGTCTGTGACAGAATTAACAAACACATCTCAATTCTCCATGTTTCGAGTGACAACAGGCTGGGGGTTAAAAATCAACTGGGTGTGTTTTGACTATCTACTCTTAAAAAAGAAATAGGGTGGATTAGAATGGAAAATAACAGAGTTTGCTGAACTCTGTAAGTATGTGAAACTTTTTAGTTATAGGAATTTGATGAATCATGATGTAAAATATATTTCTCATCAAGGAACATGAACAAAAGACCTGAAAGTCGTTGTTCTGGGCTGTTTAATGACTCAAGGCCTCCTAGATCAGGACTTTTCTGTATTTTAATGTAAATAATCACTAAGGAGCTTAAAGATGGACCCCATTCCCTGAAATTCTAGAAAAGTAGGTCCAGGGAGGGAGCCCAGAAACACACCTTTTAAATAGGTGCCCATCTTTTAAGAAGCACTGTTAGATTCCACAGCAGTGATCCTTACCCAAAAAGCACACCAGAAACTCCTGGAAAAATTTGAAATCACACATTCCAAGCCCTACCTTGCACGATTCCGGCTGCAGGTCTAGGCAAGGAAGGCCTGAGTCTTTCTACTTCTGCTATAAGCATCCCAAGTTATTCAGTATTATATACTAAAACTTGAGAAGCTCTTTTCTAGGGCACAAACTTTAGGATATGCAGTTTGTTCCAGTCATTTCTTTAAAAACCAAATGACAGGCAAACTGATGACCAAATGGCTCTCAAGTCCCAGTGACTCTGGGACTTAACTGCTCCTGGACAAAGCCCACTTACATAACTGGGCACTTTACTACTCACTTGAGAGCTTGCAAGTATCCACAGCAGAATCCACAGAATCAACCCCTCACCAAAATGAATCAAGAAACTGGACGTGAGATAAGGAGAGCCAAGTTCTAGGTCTTCTGATTTTGCCACCAACAAGCTACGTGACTCAAGCCAAGTCATTTAACCCCTTGTGGCTTAGATTTCCTGAATATAAAATAAGGCAGTTGGACTAGATGGTTTCCGTAGTCCCTCTCCTGCCGTTACTCCGTGATCACAGAAGGCTGGCAGATTCACTTTGTTTTTACAGCTCAAGAGTTTAAGGCAATTAGAATACATGGAACAAATTAGTACAACTGCCAAGGAGAAAAATGGTCAGTGGTGGATATACTACCAAACAATTCACGAATGCTCAAAATTAATTGAATTAAGAACGAAACAATTAGAAAACTCATTAAAGAAGCTAAGATGGCAGAATTAGATTTGCAGGAAGAGAGACCAAAAGCTAAAGAGAAGACCCCAAGCTGGACGACCAAGCCCCTTGTGTAGATAATTTCTGAGAACAATCAAAAGAAGCGCCAGATCCGCATCCAGCAGTGGTGGTCAATCTCCCCCAGCACGTCTGAGTCAGGAGGCTGGGGAGTGAGCAGAAGCCTGAGCACCAATACCTGAGGAAGTGCCAGCAGCCGGAACCGAAGAGCCAGAGCGAACAACGGCAACTGGGTCGGAAGGGCCAGGAGAAACTGGAGCGGCTGGAGCATTAGGAGAAATAATGGCAATTCATGCTAGAGGTGGCCAGATTCGAGGTCTGTGTTCTGTCGTTGACCACTGGGAAAATGGCAGACCACTTGGGCAAGTTCCCCAGAATGAGCATTTTCTACGCACGTGAGCATAGAAAAAGCGGAGGAAGAGGCAGGGAGTGGATGGGACACGAAGGCAGTGCCTGATGTCAGTCTCTGGTTCGGTCGACTACGTCCGTGTGGACAAAGAACAGGTACAGAATACAGGCTTCCAATTCTGGATGACTCCTCCCTACCTTGTCGCAGAGCTGCACCCTGGCGAGCAAAGCGGCTCGGCGGGTAACTGAGTGCTGGCCCAGCCCGAGATGGGAAACTGCTGAGTGCAAGCGAGCCTCCCTCAGCAAGGGGCGCCCAGAAGCGCGCCACGGTCTCTTGGGGCGATTTACAGAAGATGGGAAAAGGCTGCTCTGGGAAGGCATGGCCCCAAGAAAGTGTTTTCCTGATAAGGGTGTTAGGAGGTGAAGTCCACCGCCACAAACAGGAGAAGCATGCCCCAAGAGAACAGGGAACTGGTAAGTTCCAGAGTTAATTTGGGGAAAGAAGTAAGGAAAACCCACCCTAGGGAGTCCGGAACACTAGACAGCCTACTTTCATAAGGCATGTCCATCATTTAGACCCAGTCGATCTGGTTTATATGGTTCAAACCAGGGCACCTGGGTGGCTCCGAGGGTTAAGCCTCTGCCTTCGGCTCAGGTCATGATCTCAGGCTCCTGGGATCAAGACCACATGGGGCTCCCTGCTCAGCGGGGAGCCTGCTTCCCCCCCCACTACCCCGCCCCCTGCCTGCCTCTCTGCTTACGTGTGATCTCTCTCTCTGTCAAATAAATAAATAAAATCTTTAAAAAAAAAAACATTTTAAATGGTTCAAACCATGAAGTGAGTAAGTTTAAAAAACCCACTTGGAGGATGTGATAAACTCTCATTTGTGTTAAAGTCACATCCAATATAGATCCATTAGATTTGGTCTAGTCTGAGAAAAAAAGTTTTAAGAGTGAAGAGAAATGCAGTCACCTCAACATCCACGGACCACGGTCAATTTGGTGGGAAGAATTGACTTTGAGAATATTTAGATATTTGTATCTGTTTTGATTAGTCAGAACAATTAAAGGGAAAAGTACCTAAGAAAAAAATTTAAAATCGACAAGAAATAATCGGAATTATTTTCAATGGACTGGAAGCGAAGGCAAATTAACGAAATCTCCTCTGGGAGGACTGACTGTGAGGAGGAGCTACAGGGAGCACGGGAAGGGAGTTGCCAGGCCCCAGGTTAAGGGGCACACCCTAAGCCAGGACTGCTGACAGTTACAACAAAGTGTTATCAGCTCTCTTCCCCCACAGAGACGCATAATAGTCAACCAGATTTAAGTGTGTTATCACTTGCCAAAAGTTAAACTATTAATTAAGCTGTAAGAGGTCACTTGCAAAGGACAAGAGACTATAATTGATGACTGTCCCTTGCCTGATGACATTTTCAGAAATCTCAAGTGGCCAAAAGAAAAACGGAGTGTAAGGGAGGGGGGTGATTTAAAACATATATTCGCTACAATGGGGGGACTAAAAACTATTTCAGCTCTTAAGTGTGTATATGGCAACATACCAATGACTCACTCAAGTATGTGTGACCCAGGTAAGCTCTGCATTTTTCCCAAGAACACCTGTCGTGGATAAGTCAATCATTCCATTTGGCATTTCTGGATTAAAAAGACCAGCAGCCAATTCAGAACAGTAGCCATGGCTACCACTTACTGAAACCTTCTTATCTGCTAGGCACTGTAAATACTCTACATGTGTTAACTCACTCATTTTTAACTCACATCTAAGAGGTCCACACTTAAATTGTCTCCATTTTAACTGTCTAGGGAACAGGCACAGAATGGTAGTAAGCGGAGAAGCCAGGATTTGAACCCAGAGTCTGAATCCAGCATGAAACCCCTACCATGCAGGTAAGCCAGATTGAATTCAAAATCTTAAATGGAATATAAAGAAATAGCAAATATCAGAAACCTCTGAGTTGAAATCAAATCCAGTTTCTTTTTAAATTGGCCAGAGTTGAAGAATTCATTAACTGCAAAATACACACATTTTTTTTTACCCCAGACTGAAGGAAATGTTAAGACATTCAAAGACTGGTAATAAACAACTTGAAATAAGGAGAAATTAAGTATATCTTGACCAAGCTGAATATTCTAGATATTAGAAAAATAAAAACATCTGCTCCTTTCCAAAGCAAAACAATAAAAACAAAACTATGCTTTTGTTGTTTAAAACAAGTGTGCTTCCAAGTTTTAGGTAGCTTGTCATTTGGGGTTTTCTTTCATGCTGATACTCTGAAATATAATGCAGTCCCAGAAAAAGGTTAAAAAAAATTGAGCTCAAGGTCCTTCAGTGCTTGACAAATGATTACAAAACAGGTTTAATCACTGGCCCAGGGTGAACCAGTACATAAAAATTAAAAAAGGCAAAGAGGATGATCCATGTTTGTAACTGCAGCACTCTGCATGAACAGTTGTAGGTCATAGGGAACTTGATTTTTTTTAATATTTTATTTATTTATTGGAGGGGCGGGGACAAGTGAAGCTGTGCTGAGTGCAGAGCCCAACATGGGACTTGATCCCATGACCCTGAGATCATGAACTGAGTCGAAATCAAGACTCTGATGCTCAACCAAATGGGCCCATGCAGGTACCCCTATTTTTATTTTTTTGAAGATTTTATTTGAAGTAATCTCTATACCTAACGTGGGGCTCAAAATTACAACCCCAAGATCAAGAGTCACATGTTCACCGGCTGAGCCACAGGAAACTTTAAATCCAACATCTTAGGAAAGAAATATTTGCCATACCATTTAACTAAAGAAAAATAGATCGGAGACCAATGATTTTTGTCAGTGGTTTTCTTTCATATACTAAAGGTTTTAAATCAGTGGCTCTTGCCTCCCTGGATGTGAGTCTTTAATATGAATAGTACTTTGATATTAAAGTATGAGCTGTGCTCTATTGAAAGCTACTGGATGGTGCCATGCACACCCATCGACTATAACAGAGAATGACAAAATCTGTCCAACGAGGAGGGAAACAGTTGTGCCATTCTCATTAGGGCAGAACATTTCACTGGTAGCATCAGTGAAATGTGCACAAGAAGATATTAAACGTCACTGATTCGAGCCATTCCCCCCACTTCAGTGGTTCTGGGCTTGGTTGTGTCATTGTAGTTGTGCTCAGTTTCATCTGCAGTGTATTTGTAAACCCAGCAAGGTATGCAGACCACTATAAAAGTTGGTTTTGGGGGCATCTGGCTGGCCTAGTCATTAAGTGTCTGCCTTGGGCTCAGGTCATAATCCCTGGGTCCTGGGACTGAGCCCCACATTGGGGTCCCTGCCTAGCGGGAAGCCTGCTTCTCTCTCTCCCACTCCCCTTGTTTGTGTTCCCTCTCTCACTGTGTCTCCCTCTGTCAAATAAATAAATAAAATCTTTTTTTAAAAAGTTGGTTTTGGAAGAAAAAAGCTTAGAAAAATGGCAGGGGTTGGGGTAGAGGGAAGTCCTTGAAAAAGAATACTGATGAAGGGAATGCTAAGAGGGAGAGAGAAAAGTATCACAGGGGCAAGGATGAGTGAAGACAGAAGAGAGAAGCCAAAGGACACAAGGGCCATGAAGGTCCTGCAATCCAGCCGGGTGGCCCATCGGAGTCAATGGCTACATCATGGCCCAGAAACTGCAAAGCAGTGATGCCCAGTGACACTGCTCATTTCAGGTACGACACCAATGTCTACCTCACAATTAACACATACATTCTCAAACTGTATGAAACAGGCCATCTGTGCCTCCATGGACTGATTTTTAAGCTTTTTTTTCTGTGCCTGTAACTGTATCTGTTACAAAAGACATCAGTAAACACATACACCTTTATTGCAAGAAAAACATAGCCTTTCTCAGCTTTCAGCTTCTTCATACACCTTTATTACAAGAAAAACATAGCCTTTCTCAGCTTTCAGCTTCTTCATCAAATGTATTTCAGGTCCACTGATAGGCAGGTACTGGGGGGTGAGTAAGCTGATGGCTTATTAAGGACCTCTGGAACATAAACCAGAAGGCCACATAAAAAATGCAATTTTTAAGAAAAAGAAGCGTAGACTGCTTCTCTTGTTGGCTTGTTTATAACAAACACTGCTCATCGGTTACATAATTAAGTAAAGAGAGATGAAGAGGACAGGCCTAGAGTGAAAGATTTGTAAGAGAAAGGCATAGGGCAGGGGGAAAGAGAGAGAGAGAGAATCAAACCCACAGACTGTGGTATAAACAAAGACGAAGCTCAAAGACAAAGATAGGTGAAAATATGATTCTGTTTCTACCAATCCCACCCTGTGTTAAGAGAAAGCTGCTGAATGTTTAATATTATGTTGATATTCTCAACTGAGACTTGCATGGAGATACGACACCTGAGTGTTTTCCTGGGCAACATGAAATGGGAGGCAGAATCTATCCTTGTCATAATTGAGTAGTGGCTCCCCTTCTCAGCTAATTACTCCTTCCTTCTCCTTTTCTATTTGCTTTCCCTTCTCACTTCTAGATTCCTCTCCTTAGCCTTGAGTCTCAAAGGCAAGCATGGTGACGGCCCGGTTCGTCACCAGCTGCCTAGGGCTTATCACAGAACCTGTATGTACACAGAAGGGCACTTGAACTTTCGTTGAATAATTTACCTTCATTCCTACAGTGATGTCATCTGTAATAAAATGAGACTTTCACCTCTCTGGTAATGACTTTAAGTCTCCATCTTACATTTGAACAATCTCTTTATACAAGAGCCACGAACCTAATTTCTCAGAAATGAGCTTTGATTACAAGTCTAATATTCACCTTGTTCAAAGAAGCCAGCCATTTTTCTCCCAGGCTGACAGCCATTAAATCTTAATTTCCGTCTGTTCTCTGAGGCTAAAAATCTTGCAGCCCTGCCCCCCACCACCCCTCGCTGCCCCTTATCTTTATGCCCCATCTGATTTACTAACATACAGGTTACGACTTCCCTCAGAAAGGTCTTTCCAGTTTGCCTTCTCTCTACTGTCTTGGCACTAATCCCATCCACTGATTACCAGGCTCAACGCTTTTGCCAGATTTTTACGAGAAACGAATCTCATCCTTTTTAATGTACTTACTTACATATTTGGATTTAAATTCCTTCTATTTGTCCTTCCTTCCTTCCTGGTTCACATTCCTCTTTCTTTCCTTTCCTGCCTTTTTAAAAAAAATCATTCAATATTCCTCCACTATAAACTTGCTAATTATACATTATTTTACTCTCATTGCTTACCCTGGAGATTACAACATGCATCCTTGACAATACAAGGACCTCAAAAACAGTTTATAGACTCATCTACCCCAAGTTCCTTTCATGTACAACTGTTGCCATGTCTTTTAATTCTTAATAAATTTTGAACATCCTAAGATGTTACTGTTTTATGCCACCAAATTAGCAGTTTTTGTCTTTGCTTTTGCATTTCACCTTAATTTTCATGGGTACAGAATCCTAGATGAAGTTATGTTCATTTAGCACTTTAGAGATTTCATTCTACGGTATTCAGACTTACTTTGCTACCATTGAAAAATCAACTGAAAGTCAGTGTGGGTTCTCTTGAAGGTCATAACCTCTGGCTGTGTAGTTTTTCTTTTTATCTTCAGGTCTCCGCATATGTTTACATATGGCTTTCTGTGTATTTATCTTGCCTGGGAATCACAGTGCTTCCTGAATCTGTACCTCTCATCAGTTTTGAAAAACCTTACCGTTTCACTCTCCTTTTCTCTTGGGACTCCAATTACAAGTATGTTAGACCTCCTCACCTTACCCCATCTTTCTCCCAGATTCTTTTTGGTTTTCTAAACCTTTGTCTCCCTGTGCTCTAGTCTGGATATTTACTTCTGATCTCTCTTCCAGTCAACTAATTCATCTTCAACTGTGTCTAATCTGATGTAAAACTTATCAACTGAGTTTTTAATACAGTTCCAGAATTTGTTTTTAATTTTCCAACTCTTGGCTAAGATGATCAATCCTGTCAAGGGATTCCTTGAACATGTTGATTATGATTAAAGTCTGGTAACTCCAATATCAGGATTTCTTATGGGTTGGTTTCTAAGGTTATTTGTTTCTGTTTTTAGCCATGTCTTGTTTTGTATGCTTAATTATTTTTTACAGAAAACTAGAAATCATATACGAAAAATTCTAGAGATAATTTTCCTCCAGGAAGGGTTCATTTTTGTTTCTGAAAGGAAGTTAGGCTAAACGCATTAGCAATCTTAGATCACCATAATCCACTCAGTGCTGTAACTTACTTGAATCTGGGCTCTAAGTCCTGTGATGGGTAGTATATTCCTACTTTACCTTACTTCAAGGGGTGGCCCTTCACAGTTGCAAGATTTTGCCCACATTCATCTCTACTCCTGCCAGCCTGACTACCTTTTGCCTCCCTATTTCCATGAACCTATGAAAATACTACTTAGCCTCAGATACCGCTCTTAGAATCTACAAGTATTTCTAAGGAATAAGCAGCAACAAATGCCAGGCTTATCTCTCTGGGCTTTCCCTCGCTCCTGGATTTTGTTCCCATAATTCCTCACTGCCTTGGTAGCCTTCCAGTCCCTCAGGCAGTTTTATTTTGTTTTGTACAACTTCTCGAGCTGTTCTCAAGAGGTGCATTTGAAATAACCCATTCTACCATATGGGAAGATAACTCTCCTTTATTACTCATTTTGTCCCATATTACCCAGTGTATGGCTTTCAGTGCCCTCCATATCCTCACCAACCCCTTTTTAACCAAACGAGAACACAGACTTGAGTGTTGGAGAGACTTATGTTCAAACTGTGGCTTTACCTCTACTTACAGCTATATGGCAATGGACAAGTTATGTAGCTGTTTCCCCCATAATTCATTTGTAAGAAAAGGCATGTAAAACCTGCTTTGGGATCATTGAGATTAAATAATATGGGCAAAGTGTTTAGCACAATGTGTAGTACACAGCAATGTTAGGACTTACTGAGCATTATTATCACTGCTAGTTCTATTAAAACTAATAAATAAGTCATCCTATCTGCAAATCTGATTAGTCTCTTCACTCTGGTGAGGTATGTTTAGACATTTTCACTTTCATAACTTGTTCACACTAGCTTTCATTTTTCGTTTTTCCTAATGTAATACAACACATTCTTCAAGGTCTAGGACGGAGTTCAAGCTCCCCCAACAGTATGTCCAAATTCAAAATCCATACTAACATGCACTTGCTCTAATTCCTATTCATTTTAGCAGCATAGTTTATCAATGATTCCCTAATTTTGTATTAGTCTCTTACCAAAACTAGGTTACAAAATGCTCATAAAAACTGGCCAATAACTCATACCCTCTATAATACACCCAGTATAGCACCAAACACGTAAGTTCTCAGACAAGAGCCTGGCTCAGGATTGAAAAAAGTTCTTCACATTCTACAGATGCAGTAGAAATTAGTACTGAAAAGCACATAGGATGGGGCACAGAGGGACAATGGTAGAAGAAAAGGAAACGAGTACATAAGCACATCAGAAAAACAAAGTATTTCTGATAAAATTTTTACTTAAATCTTTTACTTTAAGTATAACTTCAACTAACCTAGTTGCATTATTTTAAAATGACAACTCAAAGTCCAAAGTTGCATTTTTACAATTCAAAGTTAGAGTTTAACAGGAACTTTCTGGCTCCTTTGAGAAGGTCCTTCCTTTTCCATAAGGGGAAAAAAAAAGTAAAACCCTAACTAGTTCAAGAAGTTGGCAAATAGTGATCTGTGAAAGAGTACCCCCTGGATATCAGTCATGAAAATTGTAATGTCCTGCTTTACTTGTATTCAACATGACTTGCTCATAAGAATGAAAATAAAATAAAGATTTAAAACATGTACTTTTGTGTAACAGACCTATGGTTGCAATTCTTTGACATTTCTGAGCCTTTAATTTTTTTTTTTATAACAAGTACAGAAGACAAACTAAATGGCCTCTGATAACACAGTAACATTAAATACCTTAATTTTTTATTAAGGTTTTTTTCTAAAGGTTTCATGCTATTCTTACAAGGCACCATTTTAGTGTATTTTCTGCTTGAATATCACTTTCTCCCAATCAATACTAAAGTAACTACACTACTCAAATAACTATCAAGTAAAAACAGGTCACTCTAGAAATCATCCCATCTCTGCTTCTGCCTCCATTCCCCACCTCACGACCTGGTATTTTATTGACAAAAACTTGTGTTTTACTATTTGTGAACAGAATGATGCATTTCAGTAACAGTATATTTACAACAAACTTCTCCTTTTAGCAACTGACAGTGTCATTTACCACCCAAATGTCACGTGCAAAGAGTATGCTACATTATACTCATGGTCATTCACATTTAAGTAAGATGTAATACCTAATATTGGGTGTTATTTGCAATTTTGAGTTTTTGAACCCCTGCTGAAATAGCCCGATGTGTAGCAGAAGGAGCTAAAATGTAGAGATTTTATTTTCATAACCTCAGATGAGTCAATTCCAATTACTAGATGGGAAGAACAAGTACACAAGTACCTCATGGAGAGATGACTGTGAACATGTGTAATTTTGATTTTTCAGGGGAGGAGGCGTGATCTGTTTTAGGCGTCAGGAACAGCAGGGACTGTGAAACATTTGTGGCAATGCTGAACCATTTGTATAATACAAATAATCAGGAAAAGGAGAAAGTAAGAGAAAGATGTGATTCAAGATGTCAATTAATACCTGGAAGTGGCAAATGGAAAACAACTCATTTCTTAGAGGACAATTCTGGCCATCCCATCCGAATACAGGAAACACGGCTGCATGCTTTCTCAGCCACACATTTCAGGGGGACAGTGCTTGCAAGTGGAGAAAGGCCTTGCATTTGACATCCATGAACAACAGCTTACCCACAGCATTGTAGAGAGGCTCTCCGGTTAACTTGTCCCAGACTACAGTGGTTTCCCTCTGGTTACTGACACCAATAGCTTCAAAGAGAAGATTAAACAGAAGGGAATATAAATTAAACAAGTAGAAAACTACTTCAGAAGAATCGTTCTCATGTGTATTTTTTTTTAACAAGCATAACGAAACTTAACAATTTGAAAAAACACTTGGCACTTCTGTAGTGGCAATGAATATACTGTCTGTGAGCAGCTCTGGGAGAAGTAAACACCCACTGTCAAGTGCTTCTCTGTATTTCTGCAAGACTGCTCTGCACTTCACTACAAGCACATGACAACATGGACCCAGGTCTGTATCCAAACGAAAGGCTCCCAGGTGACCTTATAAAAAAGGGAATGCACTAATTTCAAATTTACAATACCCAATTCATTATTCTATGGAGACCAATAATCACCTCATCCATTTACTTATGAAGTGTCATAGGCAATTTCCCTCTGGGGGCACGCGCACTCCTACATTTTAAGAAAACAGCTACAGATAAAACCCTTCACACTGGGCAACCTCCTATTGTGGTTCTTCAGAAATTATTTTGTTTCCATAATGGAATATGTTCTAAGACATATGAATTTGAATAAGGCATAAATACAGTATGTGATGGCATTTACATTACACTGACCTTCACACAACTCAAACACTGTAGTCGTAGTTATTCTAGGTGAAAATACTAACCCATGCCGTTTTATTCAATTCAGCTTGAGTCGGCTCTAGCAGAGGTTCTCAGACTCGGCTGTACATCAGAACCAACCGGAGAGCTTTTTAAAAAAAATATCAGTGCCCAGGCCATGACCCAAACATTCCAATTTAACAGACTGGGGTAGGATCTGAACATCAGTATTTTTCCTTTACAACTCTCCAAGCGATTCTACCATGCAGCCCGGGTTGAACACATCAGACGGAAGGATCGAACTCTCTGGAGTATAAGGTGAGAACTGACTTTAAAGGCTCTATAATCAATAACAGGTCTTCCTCTTAAATTTCCCCGAAAACCATTCATCATATGACCATTCAGACAGCCCTTCTAGTGATAAAATACTACCTCTCTCGAGGCAGACCAATCTTTATTCACAACTTTGTTATTTTAAAAAAATCCTCTTCCTTAGTTTTCACCTACAGATCTCTGCCACAGGCTTTGCAGATATATGGTGTAAGGTTAATACTTCTCCTACGTGCAAGTTTTTCACAAACTTGAGGCAGCTATATTGCCCCCCAGGTCTTCTCTTCCCCTGTGTAAGCTAAACAGTCTAATTTTCTTCCACTACTCCCACCATATGGCATGGTTTATTTATTTTTATTTTAAGTAATGCCTAAGCCCAGCATGGGGCTCAAGCTCACAACCCCAAGATCAAGAGTCAGATGCTCTCCGACAGAGCCAGATATCCACCCTTCCATGTGGCATCATTTAAAATCCCTTCACCACCACCCCTAGGAACACACAACTTTCTGTCTGTACTGTTCAAATTGTACAACCAGAATAAAACATGATAGGAATGTTCTGACCAGCAGAGACCTGAGGAGGACCAATAGTTCCCTTGTGCTAAGTAATTCTTTTTAAAGCTCAAAACAACCATTTATCTTTAAAATAATACACTAAAATCTAAATGTAGGTCTTTTTTTTAGGATTTTATTTATTTGACAGAGAGAGATCACAAGTGGACAGAGAGGCAAGCAGATAGAGAGAGAGGAGGAAGCAGGCTCCCTGCGAAACAGAGAGCCCGATGTGGGACTCGATCCCAGGACCCTGAGATCATGACCTGAGCTGAAGGCAGAGGCTTAACCCACTGAGCCACCCAGGTGCCCCTAAAATCTTAAAGTTAATTACTTAGATTTTATTTTAAGGAGATTTTGTGTGTAACAGCAATGAAAACTGGCCTATGGAAAATGAACAATATATGTACTTTACTGAGGTCTATAACTGACACAGAACATAGTTTCAGGTATACAATAGAATTGGGTAGGTGTATGTACTGCAAAGAGATCACAGTAAATCTAGTATCCTGTCAGCATACAAAGTTACATAATATGCAATACAATACTGTTGACTATAGTCACCACGCTATACAATATATCCCCATGACTTACCTATTTTATGACTGGAGATTGTATTTCATCTCCCTTCTCCCATTTTGCCACCCTCCCACCAGCAACCACTGATTTGTTCTCTGCATCTGTGAGTTTTGTGTTGTTTTTTGAATTCCACATAAAAGTAAAGTCCTACAGTGTTTGTCTTCCTCTGACTTATTCCACTTAGCATACGCTTAAGGTCCATCTATGTGGTCACAAATGACAAGAGTTCATTTTTCATAGCTGAATAATATTCCACTGGATATTCCATTCATCCATCAATGGACACTATGGGTGCTCCTGTCTTGGCTATTTTGAATAACTGCAATGAACATAGGGGTGTGTTTATCTCTTCGAATTAGTGTTTTCATTTCCATATGGTAGCTCTGTTTTTACTTTTTTGAGGAACCTGCATACTGTTTTCTACAGTGGCTGTACCAGTTTGCATTCTCATCAACAGAGCATGATGGTTCCCCTTCCTCCACATCCTCCCTAATAGCTGTCATGGTCTTTTTGACAACAGCCATTCTGATAGGTGTGACGGGATATTTCACTGTGGTTTTGATCTGTACTTCCCTGATAATGAGTGATGATGAGCATCTTTCCATTTGCTGTGGGCCATCTGTAGGACTTCTCTGGAAAAATGACATTTGGGTCCCATGATCATTTTTTAATCAGACTGTTTGTTTGCTATTATTGAGTTGTAGTTCTTTGTAATTTTGGATATTAACCCTTTATCAGATAATATGATTTGCAAATACATTTTCCCATTTAGTAGGTTGCCTATTTTGTTGATGGTTTCCTTTGCTGGGCAGAGGCCTTTTTGTTTAGTTTTTGATTATGGATTCAAGCTCTTTGCTTATGTTTGGCCTATTCAGGTTTTCTATTTCTTCATGATTCAGTCTGGGAAGACTGCAGGTTTCCAGGAATGTATCAATTTCTTCTAGGTTGTCCAACTTACGGACCTATAATTGTTTATAGCATTGTCTTACAATGCTTTGTGTTTCTTTGGTATCAGTTGTAACTTCTTCCCTTTCATTTCTTATTTATTTGAGCCCTCTCTTTTTTTTCTTAGAGAGTCTAGCTAATAGTTTATCTAAATAACCTATATCCAAAGCAAATTTACTTACCAGAACATCTCTTCTAAGGGTACAAAGATGACTGACAGTCTTTACTTCAAGAAACTTCAAGGCATAGGGTAAAAGGAAGAGATTTGGGGGCATTTCCTTAATATCAGAAGACACTGATGTTTGTAGGAATAAAGATGGAAAACAAAGGAGAATGTGGTGGGGGAGCAGGGGAGCTAGAAATCAATTGGACATGGTCTTGATTCTTGTAGTGACAGGAGGGGATGAGATTAATGACAGGTGGAGGGAAGAGCCTCAAGAAGACAAAAGGCTATTGCTTTCCTTGGGATGTGGGGAAGTGGGTAAGAGTTCTAGGTAAGTACAGGAATAGGAAATGAGGAATTAAGCCCCCACAGCCTCAATGTTCTCTGTGAAGTAGAACACAAGGCTATCTGCTCAAATGAGCTCAAGCAAAATAAGATCATAGGGTTTCCGGCACTATTTAATTAGAGCTCAGGCTCTGAAACCAGACTGCTGGGGTTCAAATTCGAATTCCTGTTTCCTAGCAGCATGACCCTAGATCTCAATCTGTTTCATCTTCTGCAAAATGGAGGTAATAGTTCTCACCTAACAGGTTACAATGAGGAACCCCTAGGTTAATGCTTATTATGATAGTGCCCAGCACATAGTAACCGCTCAATAAATGCTCCTTACTGCTTCCATTCATTGTCATCAATATTATTATTTTTAAGTAATTAATTTATCTTAGAGATAGAGAAAGCACAAGCAGGAGGGGCAGAGAGAGAGAGACTCCAAGCAGACTCCAGACTGAGCATGGAGCCTGACTTAGGGGTCAATCCCATCTGAGCCGTCTAAGATTTGGTCACTTAATCGACTGCACCACCCAAGTGCCCCTCATTGTCATCAATATTATTGAGGAAAAGAGTGGACTAATAGTTGTATAGAAGGACCCATAAAGGAATTGCCCAGCAGTACTGAGGACAAAACAGAGGCCAGAGAATTCAGTGGGACCTCAGCAATGGAATACTGTGAACATGACAGTTTTAGTGACAACTTTACACTGTGGGATCACAATGAATTCATGGTCCAGTAAAATCTCCTATTCCTCCCCACTAGGTTAATTTTTGCTCACTTAGCTACAGTCTCTGAGTCACTATCCTCTGCCCTTTGGGCTACCCTTCTTTATTGGCTCACTCTAACTTATATTTAGAATGCAATCTAGGGCTATATTCTATCTGACTCATTGGTCACAGGTTCCTCCCTGACCATTCCTTCTTTCCCTTCTATCTTGATTCCTTTGTGCCAAGTAACTATTGCTTTTCTTGCAGACAGTCAAAGTCCAGCAAAAGAGCTTCTCAGGAATTCTCCTGCAGCCATAAATACATCTTCATTACTGGTTTCTACTCAGGGCACACAGGCCTTATGCAGTACCTCTGAACTTTTTCAGTGTTCTAACTTCCTGTCACTTTACCCTAAAATCCTCTGAACTTTTTTAAGGTTTTTTCTTTTTTTTTTTTAATGTGGAGCTTGAACTCATGGCCCTGAGATCAAGAGTCACATGCTCTACCTACTGTGCCAGCCAGGCACCCCTGTGTTTTTTTTTTTTTTTTAAAGGAAATTTTCTGGGGCATCTGGGTGGCTCAGTTGATTTGGCACCAGACTCAAGATTTCCACTGAGCTCATGATCTCAGGGTTCTGAGATCAAGCCCCATGATGGGCTCCCTACTCAGCGGGGAGTTTGCTTCTCTCCCTCTGCCCCTCCCCGCACTTGTGCTTGTGCATGCTCACTCTCTCCCCCTAAAATAAATAAATAAAAATTTTAAAGGTTTTTAAATTTTTATTTATTTGACAGAGAAGAGAGAGCACAAGCATAGGCAGGGGCAGTGTGGCAGAGCCAGGAGGAGAAGCAGGCTCCCCACTTGGCAGGGAACCCAATGTAGGGCTCAATCCCAAGACCTTGAGATATGACCTGAGCCAAAGGCAGACGCCAACCAACTGAGCCACCCAGGCATCCCATAAAATTAGGCACTATTAAGAGAAGTGTGTGTGCTGCAACTAGCAGTCAGAATCGGGCTCCTTGCTCAGTAGGGAGCCTGTTTTTCCCTCTGCCTGCCGCTCCCGCTTGTATGCTCTTTCCCTCTCTCTCTCCCCCTGACAAATAAATAAAATCGTTAAAAATTAAAAAAAAATCGTGCCTAATTTTAATTCTGTTTTTCTCAGAATTACACATTCGGGTTCTATAATTCTCCATCCTGGTCTATCTCCCATTTAGGGGCATATGACAGTTCCATGTATAAAATATATATAATTTCCTGGCCCCACAGTCTTTTAATTACAAGTACTATCATCAATGGCATATATAAAACACAATGCAGTACATTGTATCTAGGAGGTTCATGCTTTACCTGCATATTCTTTCCTGGTAGATATTTTTCTCAACAATAGTGCTGCAAGTAAAATTAACTAGTTAATGCTAACTTCACAATCTCTGGTTCAGTTTTGCTTGACATTGTCTGTGAAAAGTTATGACAGTTAAGAAAATATACTTAGAAAAAGCCTTTGTAAATACTGCTGGTTGTTATAACTGTTGGGAAAATTAAGGACCGTAGGCACCCTCATTTAAAAATAAAACCAGGGGGAGCTGCCTGGGTGGCTCAGCAGGTTAAGCCTCTGCCTTCAGCTCAGGTCATGATCTCAGGGTCCTGGGATAGAGTCCCACATCAGGGGACTGCAGGGAGCCTGCTTCCTCCTCCCTCTCTCTCTCTCTGCTTGCCTCTCTGCCTACTTGTGATCTCTGTCAAATAAACAAAATCTTAAAAAAAAAAAAAAAATAAAACCAGGGGGCGCCTGGGTGGCTCACTCAGTTAGCCTTTTGCTCCGGTCATGATCCTGGGGTCTTTGGATCGAGTCCCACACCGGGATCCCTGCTCAGCAGGGAGTTTCCTTCTCCCTCTTCCTCTGCCACTCCCTCTGCCTCTCCCCCTGCTCATGCTTGTGCTCGTTATCTCTCTCAAATGAATAATAAAAAATATTTTTAAAAATGTATAAAAAAGGGGCGCCTGGGTGGCTCAGTGGGTTAAAACCTCTGCCTTCGGCTCAGGTCATGATCTCAGGGTCCTGGGATGGAGCCCCACATCCGGCTACCTGCTCAGCAGGGAGCCTGCCCCCCACTCTCGCCCCGCCAACCCCACCTGACTTTCTGCCTACTTGTGATCGCTGTCAAATAAATAAATAAAATCTTTTTTAAAAATGTACAAAAAATACAAAAATAAAATAAAATAAAATCAGGAGCACCTCCCTGGCTCAGCTGGTAGAGCATGCAACTCTTTGATATTGGGGTCATGAGTTCAAGCCCCATGCTGGCCCTAGAGCCCACTTAAAAATTATTAAAAATAAAATCCTAATTTGTAATTGGAACACATTTTTAGGAAAAAAAAAAAAAAACAAACCCAAAAACGACCAGAAGTGAAATAGTAAGAGCCCTGGAGGAAGGCTTTGGGGCCACTATAAGTGCTGTGTGGGAAGAGGTCTAAAGCTTTGTAAGAAAAACAGCCTCTGAAAAATGTGTGCTTAAGGCACGTTGTAACATTTGGAAATGAGCTGCAGCCACAGCTGGGAAGCTGTTTTGGAGAACAAGGTGCCTTTCTAAGACACCTTAGAAAGGTGTTCTAAGACGCTGCCCCCGCCCAGAGTAGAGAGAAGACAGATGTGTGTGTGCATATGTTCAGCAGGGCCAGGCAGCAGATGTGGGGGTTTCTCTTTCCTCTAACTGTGTGGTAACTACATTTGATACAAGAGAATGTAATCACTGAAAATTGTATGCTCTCGGGTTTTTTAAATTTATTTTTAAATTTTTTTGAAGATTTCTATGTGTTTATTTGACAGAGATTACAAGTAGGCAGAGAGGCAGGCGGGGGGTGTGGTGCGGGGGTTCGGGTGGGGAAGGAGGCTCTCCGCTGAGCAGAGAGCCTGATGTGGGGCTTGATCCCACCACCCTGAGACCACGACCCAAGCTGAAACCAAGAGCTGGATGCTTAAACGACTGTGCCACCCAGGTGCCCCATCCAGTCTTTTTTAAGTAAGTTTTATTTATACAAATAGATGAAAGTCTGAAAAAAAAATTCAAAGGTTTTCCCCAGCATCTCTACCAAAATAAGTAATTGAAGTTTCGACTCAGGAGTGTTAGTAAATCTCAGAGCCAATGTGATGTGAATCAAGGCACCATCACTCCGAACTGATGGCTGCCCTTACTTACGCAAGGTCCAACTAGCTAAGGGGGTGCCTGGGCGGCTCAATGGGAGGAGTCTGCTTGAGATTCTCCCTCTCCCTCTGCCCTTCCCCTTGGCTGTGTGCGCTTTCTCTCTCTCTCTAATAAATAAATCTTTAAAAACAATAAAACTACTTGGAATTAATAGAGATCTGTAGTGATCTAACACTCTCAATTATTTCAGGGAGATTCTCTTAAAATGCTTTGATTCCAATCCCCCACCCCCAGCTGTTCCCCAATCTATCTGGGAGCTCCAGCAAAAACCCCAAGCATCAGCTTTGACCAATCATTTCCCTCCACAGCACTACTCTATTACCCTAACTTCCAATACACTATCAAGTTCTGCCCCCTCTGTCGGCCTCCCCTGCTACCACTGTCAGTCAAGTCACCATCCTCTTTTCTCAGGACTTCCACAGCAGCCTCTACACTGGTCTCCCTGTGTCCACATTCAGACCTTCATGACTTAACCACAAAGCTCAACATTGTAGTGAGGAAGCGGTCTGCAAACTGCCATCCTCTCACCTTGCTTAAAACCTTCTCATGGCCAGCTCCCTGTAATACTAAGAGTAACACCCAAACTCCTAACCATGGCTGACAAGGCCCTGTTTCCCCAATCTCTGCTCCTACTGAAACCCCGGGTGCACCTCTGCCCTTATCCTTCTTTTACTCCACTTTTGACACACTGGCCTTTTTCTGACCCAGAAATACACTAAGCTTATTCCCACCTCAGGACCGTTGCACATGGTGCTTCCTTTTCCTCAAACTTTTTTCTCCCAGTTATTCACATGGTTGGCCCCTTTTGGCTTCTGAGACCTTAGCAAATGTGTCCCCTCCTCAGAAAGGCCTTCTCTAGCCATCCAAACTAAAGTAAGCCTTTCCAGGCACACCCCACTGTATCATCCAGTCTGAGCGTCTGCATGGGACTTCTTAGTATCTGAGATCAGCTTGTAGTTGTCTGCTCTTATTGTTGGGCTCACACCCACTGGAATAAAAGCTTCATGAGAACAGGGACCTCATCTTCTCATTTATTGTCGCATGCTGGGTTCACACAGAGATGCTTGCCACTGCACAGGCACTCAGTTATGTGCTGAATAAAGCAATGTACAAATTTGAGATAATAAAACATGGAGAAAAATATTCTATTCAAATACCTTTTATGTTGGAAATATCAATATTGAGCTGTCCAAGTTTCTCACATGTTTTCTCTATACACTCATAGACAGACTGCAGAATTTCCTTAGGATCTTGTTCCACCCATCTTTGAACAAAAGAATGTATTTGGTTAGTCCACAAGAAAGCAATACATATGTCATTTATTTCTCTAGAATTGTGCACCTATGAGGGTGTGACTGGTGCACAAATCAACAAAAATCACATCAGGAAAGGAAAGCATCACCAATATTCTAAACAAATGATTGTAAACACCAGTCTATTCCCTTGTCTTTTCCTTATTCTTCCAATAGTAATTAATCATTTGAAAGACAGCAAGTAATGACCACAAATAGTAGACACTCTACCTACTTTAAATAACTTTTTCAAATCCAGTAAGAAGTTAGTTCCCCAATTCTTTACATCCTGTGGCTCTGATGAATTTTAATAAACCATCTACATGTTTTCACTAGTTACTAGCTATTTCTAAATAGAGTGAAATATATGTATGAATCTTGGGATGGATGGACTGATTGATCTACTTATTTATTTGGGTATGTACTTATTTATTTATGAAGCAAAAGGAAAAGAAGTGTACTAATCTCTTTTGCCATTTTTCTCCCAAGTTATTTTGTGAAAATTTAGAGAAAAAATTTAAATTTCTCCCAGTAATTATCTCACGTAGACAAGGGATTGCTTTCAGTTTTCAGACCCAATGCCAGTGCCATTTTGGTAAGGTACAAGGACTTCGGAAAGATAAAAGTCTCATAATAAATGACACGGAAGAGAAATTTGGAAAAAACAAATGACAATTAAGGAAAACCACAAGTAAAAAGGACCCCAAATTTTAAAAATCCTACCCTACAATCTGCAAGTACAAGGGAATTCCAAGTGCCTTTTTTCTTGGTCTTCCTTGAGCTTGCCATGCTTTCCTGAGCTTTGAATTCTCTAACTTCTTTTTCTAAAAACCTAACTTCCTTCCACATATTTCTAACTTCTATCTCTTTAAGACCCAGATGCTCTCTCTCCAAACTGCACTGGGATTAGGCCTGTGGACAGTCATTCTAATGTTGGTACCGTATCAATAGCTTTTACTATTAAAAGTAATTTTCTAAAATGAACGAGAACACTTTTCATGGAAAGAAAATACCAAAATTTGGTAGGGCATCAAGTTTTTTTATTTTCTTAAAACCATTTAATTTTAAAGTAAAATAAACAGATCGAAAGTACACAATTTCTTGAATTTTAACAAATGTATGTATCCATCTAACCAATACCCCAGTCAGTCAAGATATAGAATTATTCCTATCACTCCTGAAAGTTCTTTCATGCCTCTTTCAAGTCAATCACATACTCCACAGGCAACCAATTTCTGGATTTCTATCATCTCACTTTAGTCTCTTCTTGTATCTCAGATATAGGCCTGTAGTACATACTCCTTTGTGTTCAGCTTTTTTCATGTTTCATGATATTAATACGAGTCAACCATGTTGTTGCATGCATCAGTTCACATTTTAAAATTTGCCTCACGGTATTTCACTGTTATTCATTCCACAGATGACAGACATTTGGGTTGTTTCCAGTTTGGGGTATTATGAATAAAGCTGCTATAAACATTCATGTATGCCTTTCTATAGCCATATGCTTTCTGCTTTCATTTCTCTTGGATAAATTCCTAAGAGCAGAATCTGCAGATATATGGCTGATTTCATAAGAAACTGCCACAGTTTTTCCAAGTGGGTACATCATAAACATCATTAAATTCTAAATAATACACTTAACATTCTATTTAATCACAGCTACTACATACGCACATTATTCCCAAGAAGGATGACTTTAGCATTAGATGGTAAGAGATGTGAATGCTTACAGCAAAGCACTGTTTCGCCAAGGATGAATGGAGAACTAAATGCTTTCAAAGTCAGTGCAGGATTTCTGATATTTAATACTCCTTTACTTTATTATCCCTTCCTTTCCTGTCACTGAATTCCCAAGTCATCAATCACTATTATAGCTGGGCCACCAAAGTATTACTTCTTTCCTCGACTAAAACCTCTCTCTCAAGTCTTCTCAGGAGGGGTTTGGTCAAGTTTGCTTTACAAGGCCAGAAGGTTTGTAAAGGGAGATGGATTAATAAACATGAGGTATCTTTACGTATTAAAGCAGGAAACATACCCTTCTCTTGGAAACTCTTGTTTTATTTCCACTTGATGATGACTAAGTAGTTCGGCTGTTTTTGAATTGAAAACCTGAAAAACATATTACAATGTTAGGGTAAAAATGCACATAGAGAGCAAAGGTGTTCAGAGCTTTTCAGCAACAAGTTCTCAGTCACTGACAGAAAAAGTCTGATCAGTTTTAAGGCCATACATGATGTTCTACCTTCTCTTCAGATAGAGTCATGATAAAGAGAAATCTATTGGACACGAAGCTAAAGGGACAATTCCTTATTCTTAAAACAAAACAAAACAAAATTCACTCCAGATGTAGGAAACTGAATACATCAACCAATTAATGAGCATGGATCTCAAGAGAGAATAGGAAAACCAAGAATAAGAGAGAGGCGGTAAAACACTGATGATGACGTTGTAAGGTTCTGTCCTGCTTCCATCTTGGATACAGAGACACAGAGTCATAGATGCCCAGGCAGAGAAGGGCACTGCACAAATTCCTTCAAAGGGAAGCACAGCAATGCATCTAGCTCTCAATAAAGGTAAAAACAGAGCCCTATCAACAGGGCTAAAGTTGTTTCCTGTCCTATCCGGCGAAGTGCTCCGTGTGACATACCTGTCATGAATTTTTGACCTTTGGTAAAAACATTTAAAATTTTTTAAGATTTTATTTGACAGAGAGCACAAATAGGCAGAGCAGCAGGCAGAGAGAGAGGGGAAGCAGGCTCCCCGCCGAGCAGAGAGCCCAATGCGGGACTCGATCCCAGGACCCTGAGATCATAAACTGAGCCAAAGGCAGAGGCTTAACCCACTGAGCCACCCAGGTGCCCCTTGGTACAAAACATTTAAACCAATGGATGAAAGCTACCAAAGAAGAAGTGCTGTACAATCCTCCACAATTTTACTACTGCTAAAACAATACTCAGGAAAAAAAAAAAAAAAAACACCTTAGGGCGCATACAGGGCTCACTCAGTTAAGCTTCTCTGCCTTTAGCTCAGGTCATGATCCTGGGGTCCTGGGATCGAGCCCCAGGTTGGGCTCTCTGCTCAGCAGGGAGCCTGCTTCTCCCTCTGCCTCAGCCTACCCCTCTCTCTGTCTCTCATGAATAAATAAAATCTTAAAAAAAAAAAACTTCGCCACCTTTTCTCTCATACACTCTTTTTCACATGTGTGAACCTATACTTGAGTACCAGAGTCCTTAGGCTTTCAGAGTCGGGATTCCTATTTTAATTAAACTCAACTTCCGAAATCACTGTAATTACAGTGGTGAAGTTACATCCAATTAGTTAAGAAAACGTTTCCATGCCTAGGTTTCCTGTGGGAGAACACTACCTGTTCAATGCAGTCTATGAAAGGGAAAGTAAGAAGAGAAAACACACCGTGAGCAGCTGCTGCCCTCCCTCCCCAGCACACTATCTTCCTTTATGGAGGACGTGATGAAAGCAAGAAGGTAAATTCTCAAGTCCTTGGAAGAGATAAAATATCCTACAAGTCAAAGGTTAACTTGACATGTCATAAATAAAAGGCACTTGACAGAATCCCAAATATCATCCCTCTAATTTACAACTTAGCATTAGGGTTTATTTCTAGGATGTTCACTCCATTTGTTCTGTTTTATTTTGAATTATCTCTAGGGCCTAGAGTAGTGCCTGGCATAGGGCTTACAATAAACATTTGTTGAATGCCTGAAAAAATATGGTCTACCCGGTACTTATTGGAAGAAAATTACCAAATCAAACGAGAAATGGTTATGTGATAGGAACTCTCTAATAGGGAACCACAGTTGTATTATTTTTATCCATACTACTAGGACTCCCAGGATCTACTCACAAATCCCCAAAGGACTCTGGGGTAGGAGACAAGGTGTCCCTTCTGGTTGGCTGGATTCACAAAGACGGCAACAGCAGACCTGTGGGGCTCTGAATGGAGTAGGATCCCTGTTCCATCACCTAGTAGTTTTTACTAGGCTAACTTCAGGACCCCTGACACTAATGGATTTGTAGGCCTTTGGAATAGGCAGAGAAAAAGGAAGGATTCTGGTAAATTCCATCCGGCTTATTAGACCACGATGCTGGTGATCACAAACCATTTGGATGTAACAGGATGGAGCCTGGACCGCCTTACTCTTTCAGAGTTCTGAAACTGCGCAGAATATAGATACCATCTCTAGAGGTTTAGGAGCTGACCCTGTGCAACACTTCCAAATTTGTGGCACACTTTCTAGGTTTCCTATTTTTAGAATCATCAACTTGCTTACTGCAACTTTGTCCAAGAGAAATACAATGCAAACACTTACGTAATTTTAAGTTTTTTTCATTAAAAAAAACAGTAAAAGGAGGCAGGTGAAATTAACTAATGTTTTATTTAGGTCACTATAGCTAAAAAATTATCATTCTGACAAGTAATCAACAGCAAAAACTATTAATGAGACCTGCTACTTCTTTTAGAACCAAGTCTTTGAAATCTAATATATATTTTATGCTTATGGTCCATCTCAATTTGGACTAACCACATCGGAAGTGGGCAATAGCCACATGTGGCTAGTGGCTATTGTACAAGATGGTGAAATTCTGCAGTACTATTTTTCTCATACATCTAGGTTCATGTGACGAGTTTTAATGACTGTCCGTTTGTCTGCAGATAGACAAATGTACGAAGAAGGCTAACAATGCTTGACAGTACTTTCTGCCTGGATGGTTATGAACTCTATTTGAGAACACAACGCCCAGTAGCAAGAATGCTAGTCTGATGTTTTCTAGCAGATTTCAAAAGCTACTGTCAACCAAAGATGGCGGTGGCTATATAGCTTGTTTTATAAAAGTTCTAGCATAGTCATTGTTTAAAACTCATTAGGTGGCAAAGGAGAAAAACCTCAAAATTATAGATATTCCTCACTTTTTTCTCCCTTTTCAGGTTTGAAATTCACTGAATTTAAAAGTCAGATGCAGGGGCACCTGGGTGGCTCAGTGGGTTAAGCCTCTGCCTTCAGCTCAGGTCGTATCTCAGCGTCTTGGGATCAAGCTCCACATCCGGCTCTCTGCTCGGCAGGGAGCCTGCTTCCCCCTCTTCCTCTGCCTGCCTCTCTGCCTACTTGTACTCTGTCTCTGCCAAATAAATAAATAAAATCTTAAAAAAAAAAACTTCAGATGCACAACAGCACAGAGTCATAGGCTTTCTTTAAGAAAATTAATTAAAAGGAACATTTGAAGGCGCAAGGAATCTGTACTTCCTGGAAGACATCGCTGAGATCCTGTCAGCTCACATTTTCAAAATATGCCCCTTACATCTCCAGGACCCTTCAGAAGCTCGAAAGGAGGGACAGGGAGCTCCAGCTGAGCCTCTGGGCCACACCATACCTCGGATTTCACATTTTATCGACATTAGCTTCCAGATTTAGGCCCTCTCAGAAAAAAAGCTTAATGGGGCGCCTGGGTGGCTCAGTGGGTTAAGGTCTCTGCCTTCAGCTCTGGTCATGATCCCAGGGTCCTGGGATTGAGCCCCACATCAGGCTCTCTGCTCAGCAGGGAGCCTGCTTCCCGCACCACCCCGACCCGACGACGCCTCCCCCTCTCTGCCTACTTGTGATCTCTGTCAAATAAATAAATAAAAATTAAAAAAAAAAAAGAAAAAGAAAAAAGCTCAACAATGGAGTTCTAAGGCAAAAAACAAATGTATGACACAAACTGAACCCCATGGCTCTAACATTTACTTACAAAGTAAGCTCCAGAAGATTGGATAATACTCACCAACAGGACTAAACTCTTGAGTTTTCTAAATGCCAATTCAGTGCTTTTCCACTACAAAATCATGTTAATACGCGAATTACAATCTTTTTGTCCTCCATTAAGTGTCAGCAAATACCAAGTTTTAGGACATAAAAAGAGAAAGGACACCTCACTCAGACCCATAGGGTTCAGAGAGATGGGCTATTAAAAGAAGTAACTTCTAGGCTAAGACTTAAGGTGGACTGGAAGGGAGTGCAGGTAGGCCTAGCAAGGGATGGGAGGCTAGACCGAGGTGGGGAAAGCAGCTACCATGTGTCTGCGGGGATCCAGGTGAGACAGCGGAGGGCTCCCGTCAGAGGGGGAGCAGCAGTGAGGACTGAAAGAAACTGAAGGGCATTGCTGAGAGAGATTTAATTTATGATACAAGCAATTAGATGCGTCAAGGATTGGCAGGGGGATAAGTAAAGGAAAAAGGGACACTCATGGATGACGGGACAGCTTAGCATTGGCATTGTTTACAAGCCACAGGATACGGTAGGAAGGGTCATTGTGGTACACAAAGGGGTTAAGGAGATTGCAGAGTTCATTTTAGATCATGTGTTGTCTGGGGTGTTACTTGGGCATAGACAGAGAGATGCCCAGTGGGCAGTTGCTTCTATGTTAGGTGGTAAGCTTGAAGAATTACAAACCTGGTTACAAACCTGGAACTAGTAGATAGGTAAGTCCTGGAGTTCTAACACACACCACAGTGATTAGAGCCAACAGTGTTGTATTAAAAGTTTCAAAGGTGCCAAGAGACTAGATCTTAATTGTACCCACCACAAAAAAAGAAATAATTCTGTGACATGACAGAGGTACTAATGCTACCATGGTCACTGTATTATGATACATAAATGGATCAAACAACACTTGTACACATTACACTGATACTAGGTTACATGTCGGTTATATATTAATTTAAAAAGAGAGAGAGAAAGAGGTGGATCTGTTCTCAGAATTTTGTGTTGGTCAGAGAGGTGGATGAGAACTTCATGCTTGGTGTAACACGGAGGCAAAGAGCACCGGCCCGGGAAGTACAGAGAGCTGGGGGTATAGGGTCAATCACCAGTTCTGCCCACATCAGCAGTTTGACTTTAACTTTTTCTGAACCTTGACTTTTCCATCCATCAAAGGATCAAATGGAAGAATTTATGGAAAGTATCTCACACGGGGCAGGCACATCGTCCACATCCAAATGACAAGACCTCCGCTGGTACTACCATGACTATTTCCATTACTATTACTGCGGCTACTACTGCCAACCAGCCGGCAGTCCAACTGAGCAGTGGAGGTTGAGGACTCAAAGCCACCGT